TTCTTATTAAATTAATTTTTTATGTAATAATACTTAAAAATACTATAATTATATCAAATTTCTTATTAATTGTTTTCAAATTCCATTTTAATTACCATAATAATATGACATCTACATCTACCTATTACCAAAGTTAAAACAATTTACTCAAATTACATATTTGACTTCTATTTCAATTATATAATATGATTAATGTAAATACATATTATATTCAAAGTGATATTTCGCAAATTGATTTTTATTTACTCAATTATTCTAGGACTAAGAAATAATGATTAAACAATAAATAATTATAGGTAATTGTATTTTTTAATAATGATTGTTTAAAATATTAAGAATTTGAAGAGCTATAAATTGTGTTAGGTAGAACTAATGTGTATGAATTTGATAATGATTATATCCACTTGAAATACCAATTTAAAAGTTACAAAATGGATTCTATACAAATCACTTAAGCATAACAAGGAATTTTAAAATAAAACAAGAGCCTTTACAAGGAACCTAAAAATGTTGACATTTTCTTTATTAAAAATCTAAATTATCAAAAAAGTCATGCCTTAGATTGAGAGTAGAATAGATATTATACACCTATGAGTGAGTCCCACATATGTGAACAAGACTCAAAACCTATTTATTGTATCATGTAAAATCCATAATTACTAAAAAGTCCACTAAAGTCCAATATAAAAATAATATCTTAGAGAATCAATAATTTAAGGTCAAATAGCTAGGTAAACCAAATTATGCATAAAATCCAATATTATTTAAGTCATCTAGATGTTCACATCAAATCAATCCAACAATGAATAAACTATCTAGCTAGCATATCACTTGCCATGATTTCCCATGTTTATAGTCTCGTTACTTGAATGGTGGATGGAAAAAACAACGTTAGATAACTCAATAAGTTAATTATGGAGCCTTATTTAATTTAAAAGAAAGCACGTCGAATATAAAACATCGAAACAATAATTTCAATCATAATCAAGTAATGTGACATAAAAATTATTTAATTGTCTCCTCGATTAGTCATGGTCAGGGTTCAAAACTCCTAATAGTCGATGTCAGAAATAACTAGAGTTTACACTCCCACTAATAGGATAATAGAAATATAATAGAATAAACTTTTTCTATAAGAATACATGTCAACATATGCTAGCATTTACCAAACTCCCACAATCCCACTAGTGAGCATCAAGAATGATGATTCCACTGGAGACAAAACAATGCAAAATATAAAAACAATGCTTAAAACAAGCATAATCTTTAATCGCATATTATCTATATATTTCAGTTTGCATCACTTGAAAAGGCATGCTCAACTTTCTAGTAAAGAACATATAAAACCCTTATGGGAGTGACTCAACTAGGTAAGAGCTTTAGATTCCAAGTTAAAAATCTCAAGTTTGAATCTTGAGTCAAGTGAGAATCTTGAGTCAAGTGAGAATGGATTTGGAAAATGGGAAAATGGGGAAGGTTATCTTCTCTTATATAACTCATTATTAGATGTACCAAAATAAAAAAATAAATATAAAACTTTATATCAAAATTTGTCATGCTCATATCATTATAAATCGAGTTAGATCTTGCCATCACCTTAACAAAGTTGAAAATATACTTTTTAAAACCTTAGTCTAAAACCAAGGGGCAAAAACCATAAATTTATTTACCTCAGGTCATTGGTAGATAATAACAACAAAAGACCCAAAACTTATTAGAACAAAGATAATCAAAAACCTAAACAAAAATAAAAATAGATTCTCTAATTATGATCAAGATCAAGATGAGCTAAATTTTGAGATTTAGTGTTTTAGAATGACATTTTATTTCTTGGTAAGAATATAATTCCTTTAATGAGAAACTAGGATGGTAAGAATATAATTCCTTTAATGAGAAACTAGGACGCAAAATCTTTTTATATATATATGGGGGCTAGTGCTTACTTGCCTTATCTCTTAAAAATTGAAAAAAAAAAGATTTTAAAACTATGTCATTTCAATAAAACACAACGAGAAAAAACAAAAAAAATACTCTAATTTATGCTTTAAAAGATAGGTATTTTAGTCTTTTTCAATTAGAGTTTATTAAAATTATATAGTTTTAGGATAATTTTTCTTATAATTTTAGGATGTAAGGCGGATAAGTACTATTTATATATATATATAAGGAATAAAGCCCATCTGCCTTATCTTGCAAAAATTAGGAGAAAAATTACCCAAAACTATGTCATTTCAATAAGCTCTCATTTAAAAAAGTATTAAATACCTTTTTAAAGTGTGAATTAAATTGTTTTTTATCTTTTCTCATTGTGTTTTATGGAACAATGTAATTTTAAAATAATTTTCCTTCTACTTTTTAAGAGATAAGACAAATAAATACTAAACTTATATAATATGTGGAGGGATCTATTCATACTCAATTTAATCTTAAGCATATATCTTTCTGCTTTTAACGGTTGAAATTTATTGTAACTTTTTAGGTAAAAAAATAATTATCTTTAACAAATATAAATAATATTAAATATTGAAAGTGGAGAGATAAATGATTGAGATTTTATATAAGTGTGATGTATAAAAACTTGTGTGTAAATAGATTCTTCTTCATATATTATATGTTAAAGCTTATACAACATAATGCAGAATGCATTACCTTTCATTTCATAACCAATTACATTGCACCTAAATTTTTTTTGCCAAAAAATTACTTTTCTAAGCCAAACTAAATAGTATTTTGGTAAGCTAACCTGGATTCTTTTTTTAGATAACATGTTAACCAAGGGCTTATTTGATTGTCTACTTTTCTAGAAAAAGAATATGGAAAGCTGATAAAAAATTCAATAAGTTTGACTTAGGATATTAACTTTCTTGGCACGCAATTCAAGGCATAATACAATTAGTTCTAAAGGGAAAGGTAATGAATTATATTTGTAATATAATTATTTACTTTGAAAACTAAGTGTTTATGTCAATATAGTTGATTTTTATTCTTTATAGTTGGTTATATCCACTTATCTAAAAAAAATCTTGGAAAAAACTTTCTAAGAAAAGTGTGATTATAATGCATTACACTTCTCTCTATAACAAATTCTATTGTGCCTTAATTTATGTATTAAGAAAAAATCCTACGCCAAGCTGATTGAATTTTTAGTCAGTTACTTCAATTTTTTTTTTTCCAAAGAAGTGGCCAACTAAACAAGCCCTAAAAGACCATTATGCTTGAAAGAAAGATTAACTTCCATTTCTTTCTTAAGCATCTTATTATTTCTTTCTAGTCTAGTAGATTGTATCCATAACTCATTATTTCATTGAAAAAGTGTAGTGTAGTTTAGATTGTATCAAATTGCACTACATTAATTGCTGGATGGGATTTAGGTCCCTAATATTGAGGGCCCTCCCTCCATCTATTGGTCCCTTATATTACAATTCAATGTAATTCAGATTATAAAACAAGGTTACTTATTTCATTTAAGTCTATTCTTTTATGGTAAAAAAACTTCGCACTAATCAATTCAAAATTAAGGTCATTAACATCCCAAATTGAGATCATATGGTCCATGGTAGTTTCATGTTTAAGAAGGAAAGAAATGAGGAAGAAAGAGCAAGCAAAGCACCTTTTGTGTACCTAGATGATAAGAGTTGCTCTTGCCAATTCCTATCTTCTCTCTCCTCTTTGCCTTTGTGGTTCGATGGATGTGCTTGTGGTCAGTATCTGGTGAAAAGGTATTAGGTTGTTGCTTGCAACTTATGGAGTTAGTTAGCGACCAATTAGAGGGAGAAGGCATAGAATTAAAATGATAAAAGAAAACTATAAGAGTTTGGCTAAACTACCATCTATTATACCACTACTTTAAAAATCTTGATTTAGTCAGATTCAAAGGTTCAAATTATCGCGTTGTAAAGTCAGCAACTTCTCCATTGTTAAAAAAAAAAAAAAAGAGTTCAAAGAAATTGAGGATTTAGTATTAATTAGAGTAATGCTTTAGGATGATTGGTCGCCAAGCCGATTGGTTCATATAACTATTTTGTTTTTTTTTTTTTAATATAATAACTTTTAATTTTTATTATTAAGTCCTATAATTTTAATTTTTAAGTTATTAAATCTTAAATTTAAATATTAAACCCTAAAAATAATAATATAAACCCTAACTTTAAAAATCTAAACCCTAATACTAAAATTCTAAACCCTAATATGCCTATTAAATTCTAATTAAATTTTTAAAAATTTGAACTGTAATATCTTAAAAGCTTGTAAACTTTAAAAAATGTAAATCTTAACATTGTACTTATTGAAATTTAAAATAATTTAAAACCTTAATGTGCTAAACACTAATTTTTAATCTAAGTTTGGAAACTAAAAAATAGTTAAGAAAATTGAGGGATTCAAAAAGTTTAAATTACTAAATTATGAGACTAGTTTTTAGTTTTAACCATAACAAAAGCAAATGAAATTAACTGCGATGGGCTTGTGGCCTTAGGGTGCATTTGGGATTGCTAAAGTTTGGAAACTAAAAAATAGTTAAGAAAATTGAGGGATTCAAAAAGTTTAAATTACTAAATTATGAGACTAGTTTTTAGTTTTAACCATAACAAAAGCAAAAGAAATTAACTAAGGTGGGGTCGTGGCCTTATTGTGCATTTGGGATTGTTACAAAGTACTGTGATTCTAAGTGTGGTTTTGGCTGTAAGTGTGGCTATGACTGTGACTGTAACTGTGACAATGTTGAATTATGTTGTGTTATAACTGTGACTAAAAGTTATTTTGATATTTAATTATTTATTTTTTAAGAAGTATTATAGATGAAATATAGTATAATTTATTAATTATTAATTAAAATTTAAAAAATATTGAATGATATATAATTTGTTGTATCTATGAGTTTGATGATTACAAAACACATTTGAGTGACTAATTGATTTATTTAAGTGTGTAGTTAAGTTGCTAAAAGATTGCAAGTAAACTTGCATTGCACTAAAAATAGACCAAAAGGATTCAAAATGTGCAGAGAGTCGGCTCTTAAAAGCTGTAACCGACTCTGGTGAAATGGAAGTGCAGAGAGCTGCTCTGGAAGCTACAGCCGGCTCTAGAAGCTACAGCAGGCTCTATAGGTAAAGATTTAAAGGATCGTTGTTTGGCGTGCGCAGAGCAAAGACGCAAAGCCGGCTCCAACTTTGCAGCCGGCTGTGAGGGCGCATTTAATGCACAACGGTCGACTCTTTTGAATGTATTTAAAATTGGAATTCCAAAGTCAGCTCAAAGTCTTGCAACCGACTCTCGAGGAAAACAGAATGGCTTGCAAACCTGGATAGCTGGCTCTGGAAGTTTAAGCCGGCTCTGAAGAGCCGGCTCTAAGAAGTTAAGCCAGTTCTACTAACAATCCTGCAGCTCGAGCTTTGCGTCTTGCAGAGCATTTAATGACCTCCAACGGCTAGAAATGGCTATATTCGAGCAAGGGTCTATAAATATGGTTGGTAACAGATCTGAAGAAGTTTAGAGAGCATTGTATTGAATATCTTTACCTACCTACATGAGCTTTAACTTGAGTTTTTGATCTTTGAGAGATCTTTGTTTGTAATCCTCTTCTTGTGCTATTAGTGAGTGATCTTGGGGGTGTGTTGATTCCTTTAAGAGTGATCTGTAGAGAGGATCTTTGGGGTTAAAGTGTAAAGGGGTGAAATTTGAGAGAAACCCTTTTTCTTGTAAAGGATTGAGTGGCTCCTT